TTTGCCTCGTATTAAGTGGACCCAAGAGCTGGCCATTTGGCCACCTTTGTGCCCCCTGGGGTAGGGGGCCAGTTGAACTCCAAGGGGGCAGTGAGGGATCACTGATTTGTGAGCTCTCCCTCACATGGGCCGCAGTGATGCCAGGAGCTGGAATATGATGTCACTCCATCTCCCGGCATCACTTTGTGGCGCGCGAGTGAGCTGAGCAGGGAGAGCTCACAAATCAGCGCTTCCTCGCCGTTAGCCTGCCTGCACACCTGCCAGCCTTTCTGCCCAGCAGCCCAAATAGCATGGCCAGCAGCCCCACCAAACCCCAGGTAAAAAAAAATAAAAAATCAACCCAGCTCTCCAAAAGGTAGGGAGGCTGGGTGATTTAAATTAAAATTTTAAAAAATATCAATCTGAGAGTGTTGGGGGGAAGTGTGTGTTTGTCTTTGTGTCTCTCTGGCTGTCAGTGTGTGTGTATGTCAGTGTATGTCAGTGTGTGTGTATGTCAGTGTGTGTGTATGTCAGTGTATGTCAGTGTGTGTGTATGTCTGTCAGTGAATGTGTGTCTGTCAGTGTGTGTCTGTGAGTGAGTGAGTGTGTATGTCTATCAGTGTGTGTGTGTGTGTGTGTGTGTCTCTCTCTGCCAGTGTGTGTCTGAAGGAGCCTGGGTGAGTGATTGTGTGTGTCTGTCAGTGTGTGTCTGTGAGTGAGTTTGTTTGTTTATGTCTGTCAGTGAATGTGTGTGTCTGAGTGATTTTGTGTGTGTGTGTGTCTGTGTGTATGTCTGTCACTGTGTGTCTGTGAGGGAGCCTGTGTGTCTGAGTGATTGTGTGTGTGTCTGTGAGTGAATGTGTGTGTGAGTGATTGTGTATGTCTGTCAATGTGTGTGTATGTCAGTGAGTGTGTGCGTGTCTGTCAGTGAATGTGTGTGTGTGTGTGTTGGTCTGCGTCATTGTGTGTATGTCAGTGAGTGTGTGCGTGTCTGTCAGTGAGTGTGTGCATGTCTGTCAGTGTGTGTCTGTTAGTGAGTCAGTGATTGTGTGTGTCTGTCAGATTGTATCAATTCAGTGAGTGTGTGTATGTCTGTGTATCGAAGAGTGTGTGTGTGTGTCTGTCAGTCAAAGTGTGTGTCAGTCTTTAACAGGAAGACGTGTGGCCTTGACAGGAAGGGGTGGGGCAAAGTTAAATTAGGAGGTGCCCAAGTTTTGTCATGCCTAGGGCAGCACAGATTCAAAAAACACCACTGACTAAGACAATATTAGTGTGACAACACTGCCCTACTTAAATCTGCAGAAATCCCAGGTCTCCCGGTAGTTCCAACAGACTCCAGCATGTTGAATGCGGCTCTCTGATACCTGCATATCATACACAACATCCCGGAAATCACACACAATCTTATGTGTGTGTGATTTCCATTATATTGTGTATGATTTGTGCCCACTAGCACCCTCATATTACCCACTAATCAGGGGCCCGGTCGGGTGCCGGCCCTTTAAGAGCCGACCTTTCCCCTCCCTGTCAGCAGGGAGGAAGTGACAGCTACTTCCTCCTCCCTGTTTCACAGAGAGTTGCCCGCCCGGGAGGACTGTAGGGTGGAGGCAGCAGCATATTCACAGGAGACAGCATAGAGGTACAGGAGAGGCTGGAGTGAGCTACTGCTGCATGCTCACTCCCATCAGCCTTAGCTAGCACCATAACTTCAAGCAAGCCACCCTCCTGGACACAAAGGTAAGCTAACAGGAGTGGCTGTGTGTGTGTGGGTGTATATATATCTGAGTGTATGTGTTAGTATGTATGTGCCAGCATGTGTATCTGAGTGCCAGTGTGTGTGTCAGTGTGTATATCTGAGTGCATGTGCCAATATGTGTATCTGAGTGTATGTGTCAGTGTGTATATCTGAGTGTATGTGCCAGTGTGCATCTGAGTGTATGTGCCAGTTTGTATATCTGAGTGTATATGTCAGTGTGTATCTGAGTTTATGTGCCAGTGTGTATATCTGAGTGTGTGTGTTTCAGTCTTTGTCTCTTAGTGTATGTGCTAATGTGTATATCTGAGTCCCTTAGTGTGTATCTGAGTGTCAGTGTGTGTATCTAAGTATATATGTCAGTGTTTATTCGAGTGTATGTGCCAGTGTGTGTCTCTGTGTCAGTGTGTATATCTGAGTGTGTGTGTATATCTGAGTGTGTGTATCTGCGTGTCAGTGTGTATGGTGTGTTTGAGCCAGAGTCTGTGTATGTGCAGGTAAGTGTGTCTGTCTGAGTGTGTGTGTGTGTGTGTTGGAGTGGGCGGGAGTTGAGTGTGTGGGGGGAGAGGGGGCAGTATCTTGTGAAAATACTTCCCTGATATGCATTTTTGCATGTTGGGATGTCTGAATCTGGGTTCTATGTTCCACTTAAGGGTATATTATGTTGAGTGTTAACTTAAAGCAACTTAAAACACTTACTCCTTCATTGCACACGGTTCACCTTTTTCCACGTAAACCTGCATATTATTCACCAGAACATTTGAGTAATCTTTCATTATTTGAAACATCTGAAAGACAAGAGGAAGCATCTAGTGGAACATCTATGGTCTTTTGCTTGGAGAAGAAACCCCATTCACCTGTTTTTCTATTTGTTTTGTTTTTATAATGATTATCGACTGCTCTTGGTAAGTACTGAGCACCCAGAAATTTGCAACCAGGGCTAGATGTGTCAGTTGCCTACCCGGCCTACTAGCAAAGCTGGTACTGATGTGACTGTTTAGTGGTTGAAACCCTATATTTTATATGAAGAGTAGAGTTGAGCGAACCCGGAATGTAAAGTTCGGGTTCGTACCGAACATTATGTTTTTTGTACCCCGGACCCGAGCACGGACATATCAGTGTTTGTTCGAGTTGGAGTTCGGTGTTCAGCGTTTTAATGGTGCGTTTTGAAAGGCTGCAGGGCAGCCAATCAACAAGTGTTTGACTCGTGTGCCCTTAGAAGCCATCACAGCCATGCCTACTAATGGCCTGGCTGTGATTGGCCAGTGCAGCATGTGATCCAGCCTCTATATATAAGCTGTAGTCGCGTAGCGCCGCACGCACATGAGCTCTTTTTAGTGTAGGGAGAGGATGCAGCTGAGGTACAGATTAGGAAATAATTCTGGTGTTGAATCTGCAAACTACAGCAATTATTTTTGTGGGTGCTATACTACATTTTTGTACCCTGCCCTGAACCCAGTGCAACAGAGAGTGCAGTGCACTTGCAACTGTATGTGTGCCAGGCACATTACTTTAATCCTGTTCTGGTAGCTCAGTGGGCAACATCTAGACATTTTTAAATACTGCAATTTTTTTGGTGCTAAATAGTTCATTTGCGTACTGCATTTCTTGCAGTCCAATAAAACCCTTAAATACTACTGTTACATTGTTGGTTTAAAAAAAAAAATCTAACTTTTTAGTGCTAAATAGTACATTTGCGGCTTGCGGTGCACTTCATATCTGAGAGTCAAATAGAACCGTCAAATACTGCTGTGACATAGCAGTTTTAAACATTCAAATTCTTTAGGTGCTAAAAAGTCAATTTGGTGCCTGCACTTCATATCTGAGAGACAAATAGAACCATCAAATATTGTGCTTACATTGCAGTTTTAAACATTCCAATTCTTTAGGGACTAAAAATTAATTAATCTACATTTCTATATTGTGTAAAGACACAACTACAAAGTTAAAAACCAAACACCAAAACAACGTGGAATGAAGGTCATGCAAGTGATTTGTGCAGTTTGGAGGAAGAGGCGCTGGTCTCACAGAGGCACCAGCACAGCATAAGAGGGAGCAGGGTGCAAAAGCGGAGCGGTCGTGCCCTAGCGCTCGTCTGCATGTATTATCTTTAGAATTCCCACAGTTTACCAAGTAACAGATGGAGCGATAAAAGGAACCATAACAGATCTACCGAGCCATTCGCAGTTTCACAGTCTGTGGGGCAGTCCAGTGACCGGGACCCAGACACTGTCTGGGCGGCGGTCGGACGACCGGGACCCAGTATGCCTGATGTTGAAGTTAGGAGTCACAGTGTGCAATGGTTTAGCAGGGTCTGGTGCAGGGTAACCGCATGCCCCCTGGTGTTGAGCACCAGCGTTTGTGCGGCCACATACCAGGACCCTGATGCAGCCTCAGCGAGCAGCAGGCGATAGTGGAGTTTCAGCTGCAGCACGCACGGGTCAGTCGCTCTGCAACAGACTTGCCCTCCAATTGATCCAAGTTAAAGGATTTAAAGTGGACTCATTCCAATTACAGGGCCTCAAAAGAGTAGTGAATTGTTATTTGTCGTCATTAGGCATGTGCATGGGAAAAAAATTTGGTTCGGTATTCCGAAATTCGGGACTTCGGAACTTCTCTTGCAGCCGCTTGGTAGATAACTCCCTAATTCCCACGGTATTGGGGAGTTATCTACCAAAAGGCTGAAAGACCTAAATTGGTCTTTCAGCCAAATTTACTAATACTAAAGTAAAGTTTACTTAGTATTGGTAAATTATGCCCCTACTCGCTCTACCGCAAGTAGGGGCATGTCTATTAAAGATTTTCCCACGCTGTGTAATTTGACTCATAACTCTCTGATTGGTGGATTAAGTAACCAATCAGAGAGTTATGAGTCAAATTACACAGCATGGGAAAATTCCAAAGAACTTTCCCACGCTGTGTAAAATGATACAGAGCACTCTGATTGGTGGATTTCAAACCAACCAGAGTGCTGTGACATGTAAATGTAGAGACTTACCTGTCAGTCTCTTCATTTACCTGTCAGAACACTCTGATTGGTTGGCTTAGACCCACCAATCAGAGTGCTCTGAGCCTAATTGCAGGGCGGGGCAAGGCTTTATAAGCCTTCCCCCGCCCTGCAGAGCTTAGTCTGCGCGGAGCCGTCGCCGGGTGAACATGGATTTTTTTTTTTTTGCTCTCGTTTTTGGGGGTTTTTTTTGAGTACGTCTGTTATTAGTGCGTCTGTCACTTTGGAAATTCGGTAATTTCGGAACTTCGGGACTTCGGTAATTCAGACATTTTGAAGTACCCGAAATTCTTCCGAATTCATATTCGGCCCGAAATGAATTGCACATGTCTAGTCGTCACTACCTCCCCGCGTCTGGCGTGGGTAATTTGCGCGCCTGCTGCCTTCCTTACATGTGGTAGCCGTTTCTCAGGCTCCCTCTCTGGAATCGAACGCTGATTTCCCGTTACCCATGGTCACCATGGTAGGAGCGGAAAATAGCGTCGAAAGTTGATAGGGCAGACATCCGAATGCGTTGTCGCCGTCACGGGGACGTGCGATCGGCACGAGGTTATCACAGACAAGCGCAGCCGCCTGTCCACGGCCAACGTGGACAAGCTCACATTTATTAAAATGAACCAGGCATGGATCCCACCAGACTTGTCTGTACCTTGTGCAGAATAGACATTTATGCTGGCCTTACCCAGCCAGTGCACTTATTCTTTTTTTTTCTTTTTTTTCTTTTTTTTATGTCCCAATATTTTGGGGGCTACCCCAATTAAAAATAATTGAGAATAAAAAACAGTGTTGCGACGTGCCCACAAGGTGGAACTCCATCTTGCACATGCTTAAGAGACTGTGCGAGCAGCAGCAGGCAATAGCGGAGTTTTAGCTGCAGCACGCACGGGTCAGTCGCTCTGCGGAACAGCACCAGTTTACCACCAATGAGTGGGCCTTCATGTGAGACCTGTGTGCCATGTTGCGCTGTTTCGAGGACTCCACCAACATGGCCAGTGCAGATGATGCTGTTCTCAGCCTTACTATCCCGCTTCTATGTCTCCTTGAAAAAACGCTTTGGGCGACGATGGAAGAGGATGTGGCACAGGAGGAAGAAGGGTCATTTCCACGGTTATCAGGCCAGTCATTCACAAGTGGCTCGGAGGGTGGGTTCCTACACCAGCATAGGCCAAGTACACAATAGTACAGCATCTCCACACTGTCCCATGGAAGCGTTCAGCTGTCCATCTCCCAAACACTGGAGAGAAAGAGGAAGTACCTCCCTACCCACCTGCGATCCCTGGCCCTGAATGCCAGCATTTCAAAATTCCTGGCCTTTGAAATGCTGTCATTCCGTCTGGTGGAGACGGACAGTTTTAAAAACCTGATGGCGTTATTGGACTGCAAGAAATGCACCGCAGGCCGCAAATGTTTCTTTTTTTATATGTCCCAATATTTTGGGGGCTACCCCAATAAAAAAAAAAATTTAAAATAAAAAACAGTGTTGGCTACCTCCTTCTCCTACACTGCCGCTTCCACCTACACCGCCACGGTCACCGCCTCCTCAACCTATGGGTCACTTAGTATAAACTATGTACACAATAGCAGAGACTTGTGAAGGCCTTTTCTCCATGCATCAGGAGTTGAGCTCAGTTTGAACAAAGAGAATACCCTGCACTCCAACCCTCTCAAATGGATAATTCTGGTGATCCTCCTGACAGCCATGCTTTAGATTTTGATTTATGTTCTTCCAAAGCCAAAATCAAAGATTCCATCTAGTGCTATTTTATGGCTCAGCTGTATTTTAAATTTTTATGTATTTTATGTTATTTTAAGTATTTCCCTATCCACATTTGTTTGCAGGGCCCTTGTCCTACTCTTACCCCCATTTTACTTCCTTTTGCAGCCCTCTAGTCCTTTACAGAACTTTTTTAGAGCCATTTTTGTGCCCAAAAGTTCGGGTCTCTGTGACGAGACCAATCTCGCCACTGTAGATTGGAGGAGCCTGGTTGCCTGCCTGATGCCTTTTGACTATGGACCGGCTTTATTTTCCTATGCAGAAAGGTCTATTCACGTATTTCTGCCCGGGCATTCGCTAGATTCTATCTACCGAACAAACAGCCGTCTGTATTTCTGCCTGGGCATTCAGTAGATTCTATCTACCGAACAAACAGCCGTCAATTGACCACCCAGTACGCATACACATACTGAACACTGGATGGCAGGAGTCTGCAGTTCACACGCGGCCAGTTCATTCACGGATTTACTGAATGAACTTATTTAACCCAGATAGCTATGCCATGGAGCCTATTCGTGTAATAAAATACTTTTGCTCTATGGCAATTGAACTGTATGTGTGGTCTGAGCGCCATTCAGTAATAATGTGCGCTCAGACCTAAGCTATCTGGGGATATGTTGCATGTCTGTATTTTATGTAATAAATGTAACCTTGTGTATTTTACGGTCTTTTACTGCCATGTGCTTAATGGAGTTTTGCCTCTGTCCTTGGAGATAATTGGATTACTTCCTAATTATCTCCAGGATAGAGAGGAGGGATTGTGATGTCATTATGGGAGTGTTTTATTGTGTATTACGTGTTTATTGGTTGTTTTACAAAACCCTGTGGGGGGTACTAATGTTTAAGAATGTGTATATAAGAACAATAAACCCACAGCTCTGTCTGTTCACTGATTGACCCTCAACACGGAGCTTTGTCTCGTTCTTGGAGGGATTTACTGTATGCTGTTAGAGACTGATTGCCAGGAGTGTAAGCCGCTTGGGTGCTTTTCCTGTTCAGTTCAGGAGTTTGGAGTGCTACTTTGTATCCTGTTCGGGAGTTGGGGGCTCTGCGGTAGCTGTGCCTGTGCCTCTGGAAGGGGAAGATCTTCTAAACGGCGGTTTAACCCCTTTTATGCCTGGGGGTGCCGTTACAGTCCCTATTGACTTCAATGGGGTTCGGGTTCGGGGTCAAGTTCGAGCCAGAAACCGGACTTTTTTCCGAAGTTCGGCCGAACCCGAACATCCAGGTGTCCGCTTAACTCTAATGAAGAGCCAGTTATATATTTAAAAGAATGTGAAAACACTATATTTTCACAACATTTAATTTTCAAAAACAGTGTTTTAAAACCTCCAGAGAAAATGATATCTTATAAAACATATATATTGGGTTGAAGAGTTGTGGCTATGTCAACAAATTACATAATTTATACATATTAATTGATAAAATTGCAAATACGTTTAAATATTGCTTTCTAACAAATTCGTACTTCTACATATAAGCACGTTAGGCATGCATCTGTCATTGCTGGCAATAGAGAGCACTTCATAACTCTATAGGATCAAAAGATGTCCACTGACCATACCAATACCATTTACTGTTTAAACGGATAGTTTGGTCTTCCCTACCCACTGTCTGGCAATTCTTTGAGTCAGGGTGAGTTGAGATCAGAGATGGTCTTCACCCATACACAGACACAACCAGGGAGTTCTCTACACACACAAGTTTACACATACACTAAAGTTGGTAAATACGCAACTCACATAAAGACTAGCAGATATTGAGATCCAGAGTTTGATCCAGATTGTTTTATGACAGTCAGAAAAAGTGTACTCTGTGATACGCTCTCCTTTATTGTACAACTTTGTCATACTTAAACTTGTTGCATATTGCAATGGAACTTCATTATACAATCATGCTTGTGAGGAAGGCTGAACTTGATGGACGCAAGTCTCTTTTCAGCTATGTAACTATGCTCACTGCATAATGGCAAACTCTATACAACTCACTCCAGCAACATACCCAAAATAATTATTAACAATTCTAGTCAATCTCGTTATACATTTTGTCCTTGGAATGCATTGCAATCCTCCCTATACAAAGCTCAGTAAGTATACTGGTGAGTAAAGTGCCAGTGCTTACCTCTTTGAGTCTCCCGCTAGTAAATGTGGGAGACAAAACACTGCGGATTCTCTTCCACTGCTCATCTTCAGCAGTTGTGAGTGCTGACTTCATGGGTCCACTTAGACTGAAGGCCTGCAAAAATGAAAATATATTTAGATGACAATCAGTTACAGTCAGTGTTCCATTGCATGAGTTTGACTGTCAGCTCACCCGTCTGTTGGTGAAGTTAGTGTAGCACTCTTTCACTAAAATAGCTTTAATTATAGCAGGATCTAGAATAGCAAGTACTGGCTGTCTGCCATCATAAAACCTGAAACAGATAAAAAATTAAAGGTACTTAAAATGTTAATTCACTACTGAAGGATTTCTCATTTTCCATAGGTTAAATAAAATAAATGTCTAATCCCGAACGGTCATTTTGCATTTATGGACATTTAAAAATATTATTAATGAATAAAACAATACTCTAATTTATTTTGTCTCTTTATAAGGAGAAATGCATTATAGTGCAACATTTTGGTACATAACAGTAATGACCTCCAAACAATTAGGACATATGCAAGCTTAAAAGTTATTTTTTCTAAATTTTTATCTTTAATGTCCATATGTACTCCACCGCATACTTCCGTCAAGCTTAACGTTGACTAATTGATGGATTTGAGAAATGAGAAAAACAAACCGCACTCCAATCATGTGAAGATCCGGGTGCTAAACTGGACCAAGGGCCAGCACCAGCCCCAGGGAGTAGATATCAGTGGAAAGAGGATCCAGGCAATCCAAGTATCTTCAATTGTATTTATTATGACAAGTAAGACACTGCAAAGTTTTGACCCCTAAAAGGATCTTTGTCGAGGACCTTTCAGGAGTCGAAACATTGCGGTTTCTCACTTATCCGAATAAAAACAATTGAAGATACTTGGAGTGCCTGGATCCTCTTTCTACCACTGACTAATTGATGGATATCACAATACGGGAAACAGATAGAAGGGATCAGCACTCCAAATAATTAGGCTTGGTGCGCTCTTACAAGAACTCCTTACTATAATCCCTCTCCTAAATAGGTCTTTGTCAAGTCTCCGCTTGAAAAAGATCCATTTGGGTTGAAACGTTACCATGTCCACTATGGTGGAATAAAAATCTTCAGCATTTATAAGTCTGGTGTTGAGGCTGTTCATTGATTCATCTCAAAGTAATGGATAATACTCATCTGTAGTGTTATTAGGAATTTTAAATGTTTAGAAGACACAACCGCTCATCCACCAAATGGTAGGCCAGAAAAGATCACAGAAATGTACTTCTGATTTCTCAATCATTCACTGCACAAAATGGATTGTCCTCTGTTGCAACACTTATAAACAAGCACTAAACTGCCTCTGAAACCAATATTAGTATATGAACTCTGAGCAGTTGTCACACGTATGATCTTGATGCTCAATTTCAGTTCTGTATTTCGCTAAGGCAATGCTACCTGCCTGAATGCAGAAGTTCAACTGTAAAATTTGGTGAGAGAGGAATTATGACCCTGACCTTTTGTTTTTCATTGTTCAGTTTAGCTTCTGTAAAATGATTCATTGTAAAGATTATTAGCCTTTATTCCATTTATTCGTATCACCCAAATTAAAATTGTGTTGCATGAGTTATTTAAGTAGATCAAGGTGTAGATACTTTGCACTTTATCTTTATTGCACTTTTGATTGTACATTATGACATGATCTATTGTATCTAGAGTTGAGCGAACCCAAACTGAAAAGTTCGGGCTCGTACCGAACATTAAGTTTTTTGGACCCCGGA